ACCTTTGCCTGTTTTCCGCGAATACAGTTGATTATCTTATCATTCAATTTCATGGACACTCCAAAAACTCTCAGTTTGTATGGTACCAATGACGAGAATCGAGCGCTCTCATTTCTTCTCGGCAAAGGGAGTGCGTTATTAGCCATAATTATATACTAAAAAAGGAAGAAGGTTGTAAGTTAGGAAAAATTTGAAATTTAACAAATATATATATGAAACTAGATATATGTATGTATATATGATAGGAGGTTGAAGCAATAGTTTATATTACTTACAAGTGGGAAAAGGAGAGCAAATACCCCTGCGCTCAAAAACTGGTCAACAAAGAAAGTTGTTACAGTAAATGTGAAACCTATTAGATTGAGATTTTTAATTGTTAATGTGATATCACGTGATTGCAAACGGAATTTCGAATAGGTGTCTACCGAAGCCGGCAAAGTAAGACCATCTTTCTTCAAAATAATCTATGCGTTGTTGCAAAGTCCATCCTTTATTAACCCATTTATACCTATCAATTTGATGTAGACGAGATATTATGAGATGCGAGTAAGCCACCAATACGTTTTTGCTAGTAATTGCTGCGTAAAAAATTTGAACATACTCGAAACTATAGTAAGCGTATATCCAGCAGAAATACATGAACGATACCAATGGACCAAATACGGGAATAGCATAGATTATCGTGGCCACTGTCAGATAATTCATGAATAATATGGCTCGATAAATGTCATTGGCTACATTTTGCAACAGTCTGGTCGGTATAAGACAACGAACGATGGGTTAGGTTAAAATGGAACGTTTCGATCGACCGTGATCCAAGAGAACTTCCACTAACCTAGTATACGTTAGCTTCGAATCTATAGGTCGACCATACAGTAGTCGGTAAGCGTGATCGGCTATTTCTTGATACCACATAGCATTCAATGCAAAACTGAGAAGAAATATTGGATATACCCAGCATAACTGAAAAATTAAAATTCATGTGTTCTATAAAGTTCGTTAAAAAAAACAAATGCTGTTGCGATGTAAAGAAAGAAAAAAAAAAACTTTTCAGTACTTGATACATCAAAGCCGCGGTCTTATCCAGAAAATTGACGATGAATGGGGAATGCTCATTACTTCCGCGAATCGACGTGAAGAGTGACGTTCCCAGGATAAAATGTATTATTGGTAAGGTAATACGGTTGAAGAAGAATATACTCCCCAAGAAAAGTACACCGTTTAGGGTGAAACACTTTAAAGTACGATTTCGGATCGTGTTGGATCTTTTAGATAGTACAACCCACACATATGTAAAGGACAAGAAATTGGGTAACCTATGATAAAAAGTTGAAGAAAAAAATTGTGGCAAAACCTCTTACCCGTAGATTATGATCAAACTCGAGGGCCAAGCGAAGGAGTCTCTTAAGCCACAACAAAAGAAACTAAAACATAGTTTTAAAGTTTCTATGAAATTAAGTTGAGAGACTACTCTAACGGTGGATGAAGGCATATTAGTTGTATTTACATCTGTAAGAGTGTAAAAAAAAACGTTTTTTATTCGAGTATTTTCATTGTATACTGGACAGTTTTTAATGAGTGATCTCTTGATCATGCGGTTGACGATCATGGATCATAAGGTTGAACCGTAGGCCCGTAGCTACCAGTTGATTATTAGACGCAGTAACCTGTATAATTCGTAAGACAATCAGATTAGTGCAGTATCGACAAAAAAAAAATGAATATTCTACCGCACAAAAGGTAGGCGCAGGCGCGCCATTCGCTTTGTCCATTAATCCGCTTTGTCAATATGGCTCACAAAGTTTCCCAAATTCAGTTATCACGTTTACAACCTCAAAAACAAGGAACGTGTTCGTAAAGACGAGGAAAAAGCGCAACAGGAAGAAGCAGCAAAAAATAAGAGAAAGGAAATTGCGGTAATATTTCTTTACCCATTCTTTTCGAAATTTTTGTACGAACTTCCTGACGAAGTTTTTTAGGAACGTGAACGGAGGTTAAAACTTCTTCGCGAAAAAGCTAGTGCGAAACATCAACTAACACAGGAAGAAACAAAGGAAATAGCGACCGCCGATTCAACGAAAAATGATCAGGCTCTGGCAATTCAAAGTTCGTCGGATGCAACCGACGGTCACATCAACTTCTGGGGTGATATAGAAAAGGTAGTCCTATCTCGATCTTGAATTCTTCTTTTCCGTTCCACTCAAATTCTTATCATGTTATTTTCATTAACAGAAATTTGCAACCAATCAAGAATACGAAGCGGAAAAAAGGGCGAAGGAACAGAAAATAGAAAGGCAGTTTACAATGTATTTTGACGAAGTATTAAAAGGCATGTTTTTCATCACACTTAAAGGACATGTCGTTTCATATTCTCAACGGTTTTCAATTGAAAAATGCAGATCCAAGACCTTGGTATCTTGGCACCAGTAATCATCATAATGACGACGAAAAGTATTCGATAGATGGAACCATTAAAAAGTAATTCAGTGCATACCGAGTTTTGTCACACATCCCTCCTGTAAATGCGAACTCCTTTATTTTTTTTAGAAAGAGAGATGTGAAAACCAAATCTATTGATGATCCACTACTTGCAATTGAAAAAAGTATGGAAAAAAAGGCCAAGAAAAAGAACGATCCTATTATACATTCTAGATCGAAGGTAAAAATTGCACATATCATCTACTTCAAAATTTATTTGGCTTCCTAATCAATTAGTTCGAAAAATGCTTTAGAACGAAAAAGAAAGAAATTCAATATCGAACTCCTCGTCAACAATTGACGAATTACGCGCTCAACGAATTGCGAGAGAACGTGAGGAACGAATGCGTACTCTCAAACTCCTTAATCCGCATATGGAAACCGGACCACCGAAAAGTCGTTATAATTCCCAGTTCAACCCAGAGGCTACTGAGGCAGCTCACAATTTTGCTGGTCGACGAAGTCAAGGCCATTACAGATCTGATCATTCTCGTTCACGGAGACATAAACCTTATTAATCTCTCATTGTATTAACAAATGCTGCGTAGATTAGTTATATAATTTACCTACTATTTTTGTTATGTGACTAGGAAGCTCATAAGTTAGCTGTATAATACAAAAAAAAAATATTCTATACAATAAATAAGATTTTTATAAATTTTATAAAAAAATTAATGCAATATAAAAAGATATTGAAAATTAAAGTTATTTTTAATATAATTTATTACGTAAGTTATTTCGCATAACCAACTATACCACGTGATTTGTGCGAGTTATATAAACAGAAATTTTTCGACATTTCAAATATTCGTAGCAAAATGGCGGGAGGCGATCATAATAGTAAAGTATCGTGGTCTCGCGATTTCCTTCACTCGTTTTTTCTTTATTTCTACTAATGAACTTTAATTTAATTAAACAGCCGTGATAAAGGATCCAGCGGTCGAACGCTGGTATAACATGCGCATGAGCACAAGAGAACACTTTCGACTAAATGGAAGAAACATTCGCATAGGATTAATATCCGTAATATTTCTTCCCGTCGGTTGTTATCTTTTGGCAGCTGCAAATGACGTTAGTATAAATTCTTTTGTCTATAGTGAATCCCACATTGTGATTATTTTGAACTAACGGTGGTCAATTATCCTTTTTGAAAGGACAAATGGGTGTTTACCGCCAGAACCCGTGGCTCCACTTCACTTGAAGATTATAAAAAGAAACCAGCAAAGAAGGATTGATTTATGGTTTTACCCGGTCGTTTGTTTAGACAACACATTTTGTAATTACCCAATGTCTGTCTTTATTTGTGGCCAGAAGAGTAGAACTCTAGAAATTTCATGAGTCGAACATGTGTATTTCTCTTTGGTCAACAAATAATGCATCATTATATATTAAAGAAAAGCAACAGTAGTTTTAATTATAAAAATCAAAGCACTGAAATGAAGCCAGTCTAGTAGAAGAACTTGAGTAAATCTGAAACGTTTAAAAAAAAAAGTTCCAAGTAAAATTTATCTCCTTCTATCCCTAAAGCTTCGACCATCCCTTCTTTCATCCCTTCTATCTCTATCAACCCTCGGCCCTCCATTTCTATCTCTGTCACGGTCGCGATCTCTATCATTCCCAATTGCACGATAATTCCTGCCTCTATCACGATCCCTGTTTCTATCTCTTGCAAGGCTATTTCGCCTTTCAATTGATCTAGGTGGCGGACCATAGAAGATGGCTACATCTAGAAAATCTCCAATAACGAATCTTGCATCGTCAAGGTTTGTGCCATCTTCAGAGGATGAGGTCAGGTTGTGTACTATACCTAAATCTTTAAACGTATATTTTCCGCGTAAATTATCAACATAAACCAATTTAAATGATAAACGTGCATTTGGTTGATTAGCCTCGGCATTTACTTCTCTGAAAAGATTTGCGATTTCTTTTAAAGTAGCATCCTTCCTGGAGTGTGAATCAACAATAATTTGGTGAAAAATAAGAATGTGACGCATGATAAATCGATAAATGAATGAGAAAACTCTACCAAGTGTATATTTGCACTTCATTTTCAGTTGGAAGATGTTCGGGCGTATAGTCGTCAGGGCTATTTGGAAGGGTGTTTAAAAATTAACGAGCTCACATAATAATTTTGCTAGCAAAAGTGTTAAAGAAATCATGAATACCGATGGTGGTTGCCTTGTCGCCAAAACATTCGTAATAAGAAAGGAACCGTCTAGATCGTGCAAAAAGATATGAATTAGTAAACTTGTAATAAAGTTAAAGAGGTCTTATTTTATCAACCTTTTCACGATCGACAACCAGTTTATCTTTGCCGCCGGCAGTTATCCGTGTGTTATTGTTCTGTGCTTCGGTTGCCATTACTTTCGTAGAGTTCAGATAACTTTTTCACCACCGCTTTGAAAAGGGACTCCAGTATGACGCGGTTATGGTGCATATCTGGAACTAGCTTGATTAGGTAAGTAACTCTTCAATAACGTGATTGGCTCTTTTAGTGGCCTGTACATGCATTCTCAACGATTTTCAAATTTATTCCGGGATGTCTTTAGATGCTGCGAATTTGCTTAGTCGCGCTCATTCCGCAAGTGGCTTGCATGTTACCAGTAGTGTTCTTTCGCGTCGCCCCTCGATTTATGGGACAGGAGAAGACAGGATTGTCCTTGACATTGGAAGTTTATACATAAAGGCCGGATTTAGCGGGGAGTCCAGGCCAAGGCACATTGTGCCTGTGTATGCTGGCAACATGAAGACACACTGGGATCCCGATTTCAACGGGAGCGGTGGAGTAGTAAAAGCATGCGGTGAAAGTTGTAGGGTTACCGGCGAGGTAGTTAAATGATTACCAAGAGTTTGTAGTTCTCCTGAAAGTCCAAATTAACATATTGTAGTTTGCTGAATTATTTGACCTAGAAATTGGAAAATACCCCGATGGTTTGGATGCTTTATACGATCGATTGGCACATTATCTTAGGGAAATTTATTTTAGGTGCATAATGAATCATTTAACGTCTCTCTTTTTTTTTATTATTATTTTTGACATTGGATTAATTAGAATTTGCTCTTTCTAGGTATCTTCTCACAGATCCAAAACAACGCAAGGTTGTGTTATGTGAATCACCGATGATGCCTTTGACATTGAAGCAGTTGATTGCCAAAGTTTTGTTCGAGAACCTCCAGGTGGCGTATCGTTCACAGATTACCTCTGTAAACGTAAGGAGTGTGGTCGACTAAATTTGATCTTGGATTACAGGTGCCATCAATTTCCTTCGCGCCATCTCATATGTTGGC